TAACTCATGGCCTCCTGCTGTTTTGGAAAACGGCCTGCTCGGTTGACACAGTGCTCCCCATCAACAATGATTTCCCCTATTTTGGTTACTCATCTACACTTGGCTCCTTTATTACTAGTTCTAGTAACGAGCCACGATCCACTCGCGATCGACTCAGGAACTTTCCCCCTGCGTATTAGTCTTGGTTTGCAACAATCCCTAGGTCAATATTAAAAAGCAGAAAAACCTCAAACGGTCAATGCATAAAATAAAACAAAATATTCAGATGATGATATTGCACCTGATCTGATATACCGAATACAAACAACCACAACAGTTCGTAGGGACTGAGTACAATAATAATAATGTCTATTCCCAACTTGTGGGTCGGGCATGATCATAATGGTACAGTGAGAATAAAAGCATGACTGGCGGAGATTGTGGGTATAGGGGGCTTTGAGAAAAGGGACAGCGTCATAGGTGGGCATTATCCGATGTAGACATGGTCACCACGAGACCAGCACGGGTAGGAAGCACAGAGAATATCGAGCAGGGCCCATTGGCCGGACGATTCTCTTAGCTGCTAAACATTCGCGAGCGGAATAAAACATTTTACGTCAAAATGTTGCATTTTGTGGCGTATGTATTCAAGCCGAAAACCATCCTAACCTACGTTCATATTTCTGAAGCTCACCGAGTTCTGTTGTCCACTGAATCAATCATACCCCTGGCGAAAAAGTCTGGTGGAAGACTTTCCTAGCGTGGCTGATCCCCGGGATGCCTAGATGGGGCTCAAAAGATTGGACTCGTACTATGAACCAAATTGCCTGTCGCTTTTAGTGTAACAGGGACACGTCGTAGGTTTTGAAAATTCAACTCTATTGTGCGAATACTGAGCACTTATCGAGCAAGATAAGATCATCAGGATTTGAAAGTGGCAGGTAAAGACAAAACGAGGGAGGACAAATCAAGAGGCTCCCTGCATGACATATGACAAGAAAAGTGTAAACTGCGGAAAACGAGGAACCAGAACATCAGACCTGCTGGAGTAGCAGAGTTGGCGTCATCCAGCCGGTCAAATTGTACTAAAACTTGAAACCACCGCTTCGGCCTCATGGTCTTGGTTCTTTGTGCCAGGGTCACAAAAATCGTACGCGGGGATGATGAAGTGAAGTGATTAGCAAAGCGGTTAAATGGTAACAGTGAAACTGTAGGGACTCATTGGTGTCGTTGTGGAGTTGGGCATGATAGTTCCTCGGAAGATTGAGATGATGACAACATAAGTTCAGCTGTATGGATAGTTATTGAACAGCGGGAAGCACGGACACAAATAAAGGATTAAATTCGAACTGAAAGTTTAGCAGTTTGGAATGAATACGTCACGGAAGCAGCTGGGGTCAGGTGGGGAGCTTGTTCGTACTTGCAATTGATGGAACGAGTGGGTGGGAGAGTACGGTCGAGAGTAAGAGTGGAATTGTTGTGGGTGTGCTAACAAGCTGCGTGGGGCGGTGCCTTGCCATAACTGACCTGACACACTTAGGTTTTCGGATAACTTCGTAACGGACGTCACATTTAGGGTCATTGGATGGGATGTGGCAACCAATTCCCATAATTATTCCCCGTAAATCGAAGATTTAAAAACTCCTTGTTTTAATGAATAACTTTTTTAAACTTTTACCGATTTTGATCGGACATTGTGTTTTGTGGTTACCCGCCGTCGATATCTGCTTCCTTCCGACGATATCTGTTTTTTTGGCAAAGAAAACTGCAATTATATCTTCAGGCTGTTGGTTGTACAAGCCTATCGTGTAATTCTTTGGGTATGTGCAAAGGATAGTCTGTTGAAGTTTGTCATATACATGCAGATTTAACTTTGCAATAGCACCATGCTACCAGAACTCAGATTTCTTGGTCCTTTTTCGTGAATTAGCACGCGTCACTCATGCTCGAAAAGCAGACTTCCGCAACAGGTGTTGCGCTATATCTTAAGTTCTAGGCGTGGGGAAGTAGGCTCTTTAGCACGGGAAATCACATTAAGAGGCACCTACAAGTGCTTTGAAATGGAATCTGGATGCAGTTAAACGACCGATAAATAGAGGTTATTCCATGCACCGACTGCCGAAAATGCAAACAATTGTTCCCTAGTAAATGTGTTCGATCTGCGTTGTAAAGCCTCTTCACCATGCCCCAGCGTGTGCTAGTTGTGTCAACAGTGTCGACAGGGCATAAGTTAATATTGGAGCTACTCGGAAGCTACGATGCTTCAGAGCAAGGAAGTCAAGTGCCACAAGACACGCTTCATAGTTAGTGAGAATGGAGCCAGCAACCATTTCCACTGGCCACCCACATTGAGGTTAACCATTTACCTAAGCCCTGAATAGACATCTTAAGTGGCATAATCAAAAGCGGTTTGACCCAGGCTCCACTGATTATCTGGAATTCCATGCAAGTAATGCGCAAAAAGGTGAACCGGATGGTCCGCAGAAAGGTAAATGCCTTTTAAGTCCTATTTTATTAATGAAGTGAGAACTTTTTGGAAGAGGGTCAGAGATCTAAATCCCATTTGCCATCCATCCTGGTAATGTCTTCTGATCCATTCACCATGGATTCGTCGGTTTCGTTCGAGTTTGTTGCCTATGCAAACATGACCAAGTTAGCCCACTGAACTTGTGCCAAAAATTCGAAGTAATAACCCTCTTATTATTCAGTTTGCTCGTTCTGTCCATTGACCGGCTTGATACTCCAATGTCGACCATCCGCTTCTGTGTAATATCAAAAACATACTCAACTGAGTGGGTTCGGTCGGTGACTGTTCACATTCATCAGAGCCGCTGAGTTCACCCGTCTTTGCTTTAACCTACATCTGCATGTTTAAAAACCTCTTCTTCTTCACTAGGTCTAGGTGGTCTGATTTGACAGCGTGGCTCTGGCCATCAACTAAAAAACACATTATCTGGTTGTTTCAATGGTTGCCAGCTTTAGTTCAAAACTGTCAGGATGTTTTTGCAACACACCCATTTTACTCTTTCCATCAACCCAGTGATCAGCAATCCCTAGGCCCCAACCTCCCGCCATACACTTATACCACCTCCGTTGCAACCACCCCCACGTCCGTGGCATTTAACTTCGTGATATTTGTGACGAATGCCTCTTTGTTTTGAATCTTGCCTAAGTTGTATGACCGCTTTACTTCCGTTCAATGCTGGGTGCCCGCAACGGACGTCTGTTAGGCCTCTGTTCTGCTTGCGCTATTGTGAACATGCCTCAAGTATGCCGTTCATCATTCGGGAGCAAACCATACCGTCATATTTGTGATCCTGTCAGTGAAGATCCAGTCCAGGGGTATGAAGATATCCGCCCATGTTCATGAGAAGAACTCAAACCGCTTGTCACGACGAAGGCACCAGTAAAACCAGGGTGATCCTTGCATGGTGCCTCCGGGGTGTGGTTCATGCGATTTTCAGCACTCGCACAGTGGAACTAATTCCTCAAAAGCCACGACGTCTTCAGGGTTGTCAATGCATTGTGGAGAATATCTATGTATAATGAACTATTCTGCGAATCATCTGCATGGGTGATTTGTTTAAGTGAGCGAATCTTTAGGGTTATCATTGTCACCAAATGCGGAAAAGTTGTCTAATGTGACCAGATATCGCGAGTTGCATTGAAGAGTGAATCGCTTATAAGGAGCGAACTTTGCATATAGTTCTGCGGCTGAAATAATTTATTGGGCTCTGTAGAAACAAAGTGGCTTAGGTGAATGTAAAATGTATGTAAAATAATTTTTGCTAATTGATTCTGGCTGACTGGTCTAATAAAGAAATACGTGTCCAGATACCTCGGTAGTTGCTAGCCCGGGTTAAAATCTCGGGAGCCGTACTCATCATTGTTGGATAAATCGTGCCAGGTCGGAAGAAAGCAAAGCCTGTGGATGTTGATGACGTATGCAATTTTGTCGTCAAACGGCATGGTGCTCCATTTTAGGCTGCACAATATACCAGAACGACCGTGTGGCCGATCGTAGCAAACAGCTTAAGAAAACTGGGCAAAACAGACGACTAACATTCGAATAAGATTCCATGTTGCAACTTCATATATATTTAAAATTGCCTCCAATCTTGATTGACCGCCTTCCCGGTTAACAATTCAAATGGACCGCCCTTTTTGGACTGGTGGAATTGAACTCTATTTCAGTTTTACAAGATATCTGTATTTTCCGTTTTCCTTACCGCGCAAACCGTTTTTACCGCTTTCATTATACTATTTTTGTACCAAAACCTTGGGCAGCTACATATTGTTTTGATCCATGAGTTTGAGACGTGGTTTCGGTCACGCGTTGACTGTTGGTCCATATCGGCTTTGCTCGCCTCTTGGAGTACCTCACCGTTTGTCAAAAAACCTTGAGGTTTGTAATTTTGTATTCCGTGTAACTACTTTCATTTTTATAGTACAGCACATTTGCGTAGCCATTCGTTCGGAGTTTTGCCGGTTTGGTTGCTAACCTTGGTGCTCGTTGCTCAAGAATTCGAAACGGTCGTTACAATCCACAATGTCTAATCAGTTGGCCAAAAGTGTCTATCAACATCTACCGGGTAAAGTTAATGGTCCATATTGAGCGGCACGATAAGTTGAGTTTTGTTGGCCGTCTTCATTATTACATAATTCTTGCTGGGAAGCGTATGATCTCCTCGGTGCGAGCGCTAAATGAGCTATTGACGCCCTGAGAGGAAGATATATGTCAGGTTATTGAAACATCGCTATGAGAAAGTCGGCTAACAAACTTGGTGGGATGCTTACCCTAAAAAAAGCACTTCAGTCTCGTATATGCTTGCTTGCAACGCCATCCTCGATGGCGTGATTGCAGCTTGTGCTCATTGATTACAGCCCTCAGGAAATATAAGGGTTACGAGACTTGCATGAAGTCTCATTAACAGACGAACAGACAGGAGATAATGGGTATTGTACTCGCCACATGAAATTACCATCATCTCATTCCTCTAGTTTGCTCTCTATATCGTTAGTACCAGTATTTAAAGGAACGGCTGTCGATTGGTTTCTCTCCAGTGCAGAGAATGAGGACGCAGACAGACTTCTGGGACCCAATGTGCGGGGCTCTGCGCTTCGGTCCAGACAAACATTATAAGACGCTCTCTTTGCGGATCGGCCAGAAAGCACGCCTTTGCATTTCATGGACTGGCCGGGATCTAAGAACAAAAATAAGTTATTCGTCTGCGGGTGCAACTATGGCAGAAACCCGAAGGGACATGGTTCAGTATTGCAACAGTCGACGTAATATTATAGACTGACCACTGCACACCATCGATCACTTATACTAGTCATCATTTCAAATCAGAAAAACCCTAATCTGTGTCCCTATATCCACAGTGGGATTGAAGTGCCGTATCCTCAACCACAGAGGACAAACAATCAGCTGCAGACGTATAGGTTTGGCGCAGCAGAGTTTGTCCCTGAAGGTTCAGTTGTTTACACAGGCCGTTGAAATCTGCCGGTGGCTACTCTGGAACAATTGCAAGCGGTACAATTTGTTCCGGTTGGTTATAATCCGACAGCTGCTGCTGGTAGAGGGCGAATTAACCCTAAAAACTCCATGGAGTATGTTTCTCACTGCTTTGAGCCGGCCAGTCTCTAAATACGGAAAACAAAAGAGTGCAGAGGAGTCATATCACCCGGTGGAAGGAGTGTGTGCATTCCCCAGCACCTGGGTGTCTCCATTTTGAACCACATGTTATTTGACGTAGATTAATCTAACACTGATTGTTTCGACACAACGGTGGTGCAGCCTCGGAAGCAGCGGCCCCAAGTACCTCACAACGATGAAACATGCATACGTATTCATCCGATAGTGAACGTTCAGAAAGTGGCCGTCGTTGACCAAGATTTCCCTTAAGTCACACTACTATGACGTGTGCATCTCAAGTTCCCGTGCTAGTCACTCGGCGCGCCAGAACATCTCTATAGCATGCTCCAGTGTGTCTGAGTGCTGCGCCAAGCTTCTCAGCATGAGCCGTGAACATTCTGCAGGCGGTTGTTGGTCACTTTACTAAAACCAATCGTCCCGGTTTGCACGTGTACAGTCCATCTGCGGATGCTGCACAATCAGTGAGGCGTGGAGTAAGAGACATCTCGTGGATCGATGTGGCGAAGTATTTGCAGATATTGTCACAATTTGTGCGCTCGTTCATGTTAAACAAAAAACCTAATGAACGGCATTGTCCAGGCGAGCCGTACGGTGGAATATGCGCTTGCTGTTCGCAGAGTGTGGCTGCAAACAAAAATGTTATATGGTACATTTATGCTTCCTGAATGATTTTCTCATGGAAAAGTAGCACAATATGACGTCGTAGCCAAATATTGCACTCACCGCCCACATTTGCACCGTCAACTTTTTCATGGCAAGCCTTTATTCGATACTGCTCGCTTATCACTTCCTTATATGAGCCGAAAATTTATGCATGGGAGCAAACTGTTTGCTTTCCAGGAAAGCACAGATAACCGAACGCCCAGTAGAAATGCCATATATGATCAGGTTCAGAGCTTATATGTAGAAGATGGGTGTTGGTTGCTTTAAGAACACTCAAAACTGTTTGTCGGGTGCATTTTGTTGATAATAATAATAATAATGTTTATTCCCAACTTGTGGGTGGCATACCGTCTGGCATGATCAGACACGAAAAGTTGGCACACCCCAGCCATCCAGATTTTGAGAAACACTGAACAGATGAAATTTCGTTGAAACCACCTAAACAGGAAACAAACAAGTATGCGCCAGGACATCCTTGCGATCTTCGGGACCAAAGCTAGCGGCGAGATATGAACATGTCCAACTTCACTGACTTCAGAATTTCCACATTCCCTGCATTCTCATGCAGCCCAAAAAGTGATGAATTGTTTGTCCACGGATTGCCAATATCTTTTCAACAATTTCTCCATAATTTAAAAGTTCATTGGGGTTGAACAACCGTTTAGCACTTTTATTCAGCCACCATTTTACGCATCTTCCGATGGTAATTTAATTTGCTACTCCAAAAGTCTTCTGGATGGTGGGTCATCACGTCGGATAAGTTGGACATATTGCAGTGGCGATGGCTCAAGTATTGCATTGGAGGACTCGACTCAAGCACGTCGGCGCATGAACCAGGTATCGCATGGGCTAGCTGCCTTCTTTATTGCATCCAGCCATTACAAGAGAAAATAGTTCGTCGGTCAAGCAATGAGGCTCCCCTAGGACAGAACAACCAATCTGTTCTGGCTTATAATGTTTACGTCAGCTCCCAGATGATGGGTCGCACACCGTTATGTACAGTAATAATAATGCAGTCCTAGCAAAGGCACATGAGTGATTTGAAGTAACCTGAAAACACATGAAACCGGATCGGTTACTTAAAGTTGCTCAAGGCCCAACAGCTGGAATTAATTAAAGCTGAAAACCATTCCTAACCGTGAGTGACCTTGGGCGGTTAGGTAAATGGCCGGAGTCATAACCAGTAAAAGTAAAAAGGAGTAAGTAAAAAGGAGATGAGATGGAATAATTCAAACTGGGAGCACATTGCGAGTTCTGTCCCGAAAATGTGGTTTAATCTAAAACTAAGCAGACTCACTGGTTGCGCTGTTGTAGGGAGGTCAGGTGCAGGGGATAGGTTGGATGGGGACATGGTGCCAATACATAGGGTGAACCGAACACCGTATACGGATTTGAACTTGTGGAAGAGGCAAGCCGAAATTGTAGCAGAAACCCAGGCTAGCCATAGGTGAGCTAAAATTCATCGGGTACGTAGGAGCTCATCCCAGAGACGAGGCGGATGAAAAATTTTCTCGAAGTTGTGACTAAAGACTCGGATGGGTGAGAGGTCGCAGTCGAGATTCTGAAGAAAATACTTGGAAGGTCCCTTCTCATTGGGTACGACACTGCCACACTAGCATTGTACTGACATGCTTCGGTTTATGGACAGCCCCGTAACGGTCGTCAACGGTGCCGCGATCGGAGAACGGACACGCGGTTCCGTGGCAGCTGTTTCTGAGTGAGACGGGGATTGACAGAGCCAGGCGGGTGCAGGCTCATGGATTATTTCCATTTCGTTGGAGGACCGTGTGATTGTAGACCGGGGACAAGCAAGTTTGAATGAACAACTGTTCTACGGGGTGTTTGGGCAACTGCAGTTGGGTCTGAAGCTTGTGGGAAGAGGATCAACGAGAAAGAAATGTAATGAAGGCAGTAGCTTGTGGCGAGTGTCAGGAGGCAAAAGATACGACAGTGTCAATAGACAAAAATATAAGAGGGGATGATAGCAAGTTAAATAGACCCAAGAAAGGTGAGTACGTTTGCTGATCTAAAAGCCAAGTACTAGTTGGGTGAGAGTGGGTGCCCAGTTTTAGGATGGTGAGAACTTTGCCGTCGAGGTAGCTAGCAGGGACCAGCTAGCTGTTGGACTTGTTGAAAATGGGCGGCCGTTTCCGGCCTTCCAAAGCATCATGGGATATGATCCTTGTTGTGCAGAAAGAGTGGTTAATGTGAGCAATGACAGTAGACAGGTAAAAAGCGGACGAGCAGCAGCTTAATAGATAATTGATAAGAATCGTAGCTTAACTGAGGTATATTACGTCATCCTAACAGGAAAGCAAGGTTAAGGATCACCGGTCGCGGAGTCACCGCTCTAAACTCCAGAAAACGAATAATGTATGGCGAACAACAGCCACTAAGTGCCAGCTGTGACTGCTTGTAATCGGGAAATGATAAGTTATTTGCATTTCGTGCATATGATCGCTCTAGATGATAAGAGGGAAGAACGTATGTGCTGTTTCGATGATGAAATGGACTTGGGTTGGTGTGACCCATCTAAGACGATGTCGACGTTAGCCGTGAGCCTCACACAGTACCCTCAGGATACCTCAGCATTAATGCAATTTTTTAATTCTTTTAGAACAAACTGAAGCACAGCTGTCATTCGCTTGTATTTCTTGGTGTTGTGAGACAAGTGACAACCGGAACAAGGCCAATCCACCTACAGACAAACAACAGTGGTGTTCTTTTTTGTTTTCCTGATTTAAAGGCCAGGCTCATAACCACCGACAATGGGCGATACATCCGTGCTGCTGGAGGGGTGCCGAGTATACGAACGCACCCTGGTGCAACGTAACAGGGCGACTCTCCCTGCGGGACTTACCCGTCCACCACACGAGGTTTTCATCCCTCGTGCATGCTACCAGATCTGCAGGGTGACAGTCGACTGAATAGTCATAATTGTGATTTGTGCAGTAACGGATAACTCCAGCTACCAGATATTTTATCCAGTCTAGGGGAAGCCAGGCCAGTAAAACTGTTCAGTCATTTCGAACACGCAAAAAGCGAACAGCCATTGGAAGAGGCAAGCTGCGGAAGCAAATGGAACATCAACTACCTTTTAGGCTACGAGAGTAGAATGGAGATGTTCAGAGCCTCTGTACTATGGCTAAACGAAGACGACGCACTGGTCTGAACCGCCTTGCCAAGTAGGGGCGCACCAATATTATATGTGTGTGTGAATGAATGGGCCATAAGGCCAAACAAGTATTTCATTCATGGCGCATCTTCAGACCCATCATTTGACGTGCGTGCGCTACGCGTGTTCAGGGGATGCAGAATGGTCCAGAACAGCAAGGAAATTAGACTTCAGTTTGGCTGAGGTTATTTAACTCCAGTCAAAGCAAAGCAAGAGACATTAAACAGAGCTGACAGAGTTACCCAGGGATGGGACCAAGCTTGAAGAACTAGGAATAATTTGGCTGGGTACAAAAGCTAACGGCCGCAGGAAGGAAATGCAACCAGCTCAGTGAAGACGGGCTTGGCGACAAGTACGGTGGCAGGCGCTAGACATTCTGTACTTCCACTACTCTTCAGAGAGCGGAAGATGTAGACGCAAGGCGTGAACGTCTGCATAAGAGATAGATAAAGTGGTAAATTATAGACAAGAAGGCTTGGGAAGGTGGTTGTCGCACTTGCGGATTAATGCTAAGGGTTTCGTGCTGGTGAGTGTAAATGCTAGAACCTAGTAACAGGACAGTCAGGGTGAGTGCGCAGATTAGAACGGCTTAGGGCCTACCTCAAAAAATGTCTAGTGTAAGCTGAGGCGCGAAAAGCCGCTCGGC